GGGTCGAGGGTTCTTTGGGGGCAAAACAATTGCAGAGAGCTTGCCAAGTGAAAGCTCATTGGTAGGTTTGTAAAAGAAGAGTTCTGTGCAAGTTCTTCCATGGAGTCTCTATTGTATTATATAACAAACTGATGGATGCGTTTGACAGGCTTATCATCCAAGGTTCAGCAAGGAGAGTTTAGAACAGAATGAAGCTATTTACAGAAGGCTTACTAACCTTGCTGTGAAGCACGGTTATACCACAGTTCAGTTGGCTTTAGCTTGGCTGCTCCATCAGGGTATTGATATTATTCCCATCCCAGGTGTGTTTTTATGTCCTTCCTCTTGATCCTGTCCAAAATAAAGTTGTCTTTATTATATATATAGATATGTTACCTTGGTAAGAAAGAAAAGAACCTATATAGGTGAAGAAACATTTAATTTGATGAAAGAAAAATTGATACAGTGATCGTGGTGGCAGCCAAAATACTATATATAGAAACTATAAAGAAAGGCCAATACATATCGATTGTTGTGATCCTTCAGCTACCAACATAACTCTCAACTTGCTGCCGCTAGCAGATAATAAAGTGATATATTTATATGGGTATATTTGGTGTAACAACTAAGTCCATTGCAAACAGATATTATCATCTTTGAGCTTTCTCTTTCGGGCTTCCCCTCAAGGTTTTTAAAACGCGTCTGGTAGAAAGAGGTTTCCATATCCTTATAAATAATGTTTTGTTCCCCTCTCCAACCGATGTGGAATCTCACAATCCACTCACTTCAGGGCCCAGCGTCGCTAGCACTCGTTCCCCTTTTCAATCGATATGGGATCTCACCAATATCCAAATAGTGGAGACACCATCCGGAGAAAGACTAAAATTAACATGATCCATTTGAGTGGGTTTTCAAGGTCCAATAGTAAGAAAGTCAAACTGATGCAATGTGAGAATTTTCTTCTCCTCCATAGTCTATACATTAAGGTTCATGAGTCAAATTGGCATCCAAATAGGTGAGAATTTTGAATTTACTCCAACCGATAATGGTCTCTGGTATTTTGCTTCTGTAAATGAAGCATTTCAACTCTTTTCTTTCTTTTCTCCAGTCTGCAAAAGGGACAACCAAACTTGGGAACCTTGACAGCAACATTGAGTCATTGGGTGTGAAGCTAACAGAGAAAAATTTCAAAGAAATTGGTGATGCCGTGCCGGTTGATGAAGTTAGAGGCCAGCGAGAATACGATGTTCTCACCAAATATATGTGGAAGTTTGCAGATACCCCATTAAGGAGTTGAAACCCTATGTTAAGAGTACTTCTCACCATTTTGAAACAATTCAAGTCCTTAGTGGACTCGCCATGCTTTTGTTAGACATTATTGCATTGTAACGACTGCAGAGATAAACAAACACTTCAGTTAAGGAACCACATTTGTACTCACTTCAACTGTATTAACATGGCCGAAGATGTTCTCTGCTAACTATACTAACATACAATTTCAAGAAACAAACTTCGCATGTTTACAGTAATGATTATAACAAAAATTAACTAAAGAAATATTTAAGTTGACTCATTGTACCGTATCAATCTAGCAGGTTGGATTGGGGTAGTTGAAATTGGGACAAAAATTACAACTCACAGAATAGACTTACAAAGCAGAGAAATAAGGTCCTAAGTCTTATTGCTGTTAGTAATTTTCATTCAACCACAGCCACAGAATACTTCCATGCTCATGCAAGATTCCTTGGAATTAAGACAAAATAATAATAATAATAATAACTCAGCCAAGAGAATGAACAAAGAAATTGTTGGAAAGGAGGTCCGATAGGGGCCAGTTGAAGAGGAAAACAAAAAAGGATCATCATTGAGTTTAAACCAAACAAATCATATGAAATGAACAATTTTCTGTAGATGATGCGAATGGAAAACTTGTGGTTATTTACTATTATACTAGACACCACAACTTTACGGGTTAATTCAAAACATTTCTCTGAGGTCTCATAAATTTAGCAGGAATAAAAAGACTAGTACTGACTCGTTAAGTTGAATCTATACTAAAACTAACCTAAACTTCAGTTAAGGCACCATACTCAGGCATACATATATATACACACACACATACACACTAAAGTCACCACAATCTTTAGTATTTTCTCACTTTAAATACTGTATCTCTTCTCAGGTTGGGCCATACAGATAAAAGAATTCAAGTCAACCCCGTAATTTAACAATTAAAAAAAATGCGATCATAGTTCTAGATCACTTAGTCCTCTGCTGAATTTTCAAACGCCAAATGAGAGAAATAAGTCCTAAAAGTTTAAAGAGTGCAACCAAAGTTCTACAAGTAAATCACTATCTAAAAATGGGTTTAACTATCTCTATTTGAAGAAAAACATCAGTTTCCTTGTCCTAAGTATGGCCGAAGACGTCCTCCACTGACTATATATGATTTCCAAAAAATAAACTTTGAAAGTTTATAATAAATTGTCAATAATACATAGAAAATGGGATTTGGATATCAGCATAGCTGCAATATTTCAATACAAGTGCCCACGAAGATTAATCATAAATCTGCCTGGCGAGAATGAATAGAAGGAGCATACAATTAACATCAATGTAGTAAATACAGAAGAAACTTACCAGAGGTATGAAGCTTCTCGTCAGCAAGAAAACTAAAAAAAAAATAATCTTTTAAGAACATAGCAAACTCTCAATACTGTGGGAAGAATATAATTGACATGTGATAAAAGAACAGTATTCTTCAGGAAATTATTGAACTATTTCTCTGACTCATAAACTCCATAATTAGTGAAACATTATGAAAAAGGCCTTCGTGAAAGTGTACTACAGGCTTGTAGTAGTAATGAACACAAATATGGGGGTTCTGTTGAACATAAAAGAAAATGTGATCTAAGCAAACAAAAAAAAAAAAAAAAATCGAAAGGGGGAAATTTTTTCCAAGTGGTTGAAATTATAATTTATTTGAGAAGATCAATTCATAAATATAAAGCTCAGACATTTATTAAACCAAGTTTCAACAGCAGTTGCCAAGTTTATACAGTAGTTAATCTAAGACATGCCCAGAAATACACAACCTGAGCTTAACCATATAGCTTTGTATTAAATGCCTTAGTACAGAAGAATACTTAAGTCCTTAATGAGCCTCGAGTGCCACTCCAGCTTTCTCAGTGAAGGTCTTGAGGTACTCTTTCCTTGCTGGATGCTGCTCTTGTGGTCTGTTAAACGGGGTCCAAATTGGCTCTCCTTGGAACAGCCTCATTAACTGTGAATAATCCAATCATATCCATAACAATGAATATTGTAATATATTGATAATAACTTAAAATGACAATCTTCGAAGTTGTAGTAATTAATTCTACCTTTGTATAATTATTGGTGTCCAGAGTAAAACGATGGTAGATACCGGCCGGCAAGATGATAAGATCGCCAGGCTTAATCCAGATTCGAATCCAACGGTCGTCCTTGTCCCGGACATCGAAGTAACCACTTCCATCCAAGCAGTAGCGAATTTCCTCATTGGCGTGAATGTGCTCTGTGAAGAAATCCTTCAAGTTCGCTTCATAATTGGCAAGTTTCTCTGGACATATATCAAGTAAATCCTACCACATCTCGAGCAAAGCGAAACTTATCAAAAAAGTGACCAAAAAATAGAAATGAAAAACACCGATGGATTAGTGAATGCATACAAACCACGTAATTGTATCCCCTGTCATCTCTGATTTTCTTCAATTCCTCGTCGTTTTCATATACCTTAGGGTTCAATTTCCAGTGCAACACTCCTAATTCTGCAGATAATTCATTCAATTCAATTCAAATGTAAAAAGTCTCTTCAGAAGTTCTGGTAAAGAGGACGGGAGTGCACCTGCCAATTGGTCCATGGAGACGAACTCTTTAGGGTTGCGGTGATGAGGAAGCCTCTGGTCTTCACTGCTATCATCCATAAACCAAGCCTGCACAAACACAGATTGTCCGCACAAAGACTAGTTTCATCCATCAATCTTTTGAGTCAATGTTGATATCCAATAAGGAGCAGTTCGGTTCAGCGGACTAACCTCGATCGCCATTCTTCAACCCGCTCTCTGAACTTGTTCACTGAGTTGACCCGTCGAAAATATGCTCCGATGAACCACCGAGCTCCAAATTTGAAGGCAATAGCCGGAGCAAGGAACGGGAACTCGTATCAGTTGAAGGTTGCAACTTCGAAGATTCGAGTAAAAATAAAAAATATCAACTTAATTCGTTTAATTAATGTCAATGGTGCTGCCACGTGTACGGTTGAAGATTATTTTCAACTTGTGGCGGGTAGATGACGTGGAGTCTTAAAAGTTTTTACAACCAAGAACAAATTTTGTGGATTTGTATTTTGTGCCAAAATTTTGATTTTTTTTTTCTAAAGATAATATCTAAGTAAACTAAAAATAATTTGATATATGTAAGCTATGTATTCAACTCAAGTATAGTTCAATTAATTTAGTTATATATATAATCGTAGAATAAGATGATTTGAACTTCGGTCAAAAATACCTCAAATGGACCATTATTATAAATCAATTATATTAAATGCTTTATTTTTATTTTTTTATTAACATGCATTTAGCCTCGTCGGTCAGCCTCACATTTTAAAACGCGTCTACTAAGAGAGGTTAGGAGTCCAATGTGCTCGCTGACACACCGTTCGATATTTGGTCCTGATACCATTTGTAACAATCCAAATCCATCGTTAGCAAATATTGTCCTCGTTTAGCAAACACATTTTAAAAACTTTGAGAAAAAACCTAAAAAGAAAAATCAAAAGATAACAATATCTGCTAGCGGTAAACTTTTGTCTAACTCTTCCCTTTTATTACATCTCCAATATTTTATTTCATGGCGAGAGCAACAGGCTTAAAACTGTTAAATCTAGCGCTATAAGATAAGTTGCTGTCCTACCAAAGATACAAAATTAAGTAGTTAGGCGAGACTCCAACATGAACGAATGGTATCGAACACGACGACAGATGGAGAGTTAAGAGGGCTGTGAATGATTAAAAAGAAGCATTGGTTGTGTGCTGCAAATTTGAATCTGGTATACACAGAAAGTGAGAGGGTCTTGGGTCTTGGGGCATAAAAGATGGCATACATTTTTTATACATAATGCACGAGAGAGCTGGACATCTCCAACAGTGCTCATCATCTCAACTCAATAAGCCTTGAACAGAAGAAACATGAACAAGTTCCTAATCATCCTAGCATCGGTCATAACACCGTGTCCGAGTTACAAAATTGATCAGCTAGAGCGAGATACTCATACCGTTTGGATATAGACACCTCTCCCATGCAAGATCTCCAAAATATGACTGGTTCGTGAAGGCCTACACAACACTCATTAACGCAGCCAAATCGTGCAACGGATAACCATTTCTCGACTTTGCTCCTCTTCATTGTTTCAAGTTCTTGTCAATCACAAGGATGATCCTTTGAGTAGCATGCCATCAACAACTCAGCACTACTGGATATCTGCAGAAAAGTGGCTCTCAGCTTTATAGCATAGCTCTATGTTCTTTTAACAGTGTTTATAACCAGATTCTATCATTCATCAGCTAAGTGAGACGTCTAAATTGATATCAAGTTCAAATTCAAATCTCTTAGAAAATGCTGGCAAATTTATAGACAGCTAAGTTGAGAAAGTGATTTGATGGAACAATGAGCAATCAATCGATTAATACCAGTTTTAATGAGTAATCAAAATGCATGTAAATGTGAGTAAAAAGTTGACTGCTAATATAAAAGCTCTATAGCTCTACCTTTGACATTAAGGTCGACAGGAAAACATGCAAGTTTTGGCTGATTGTCAGCTGTTCCAACGAAAGCTTTAGTTACTCCAGTAGGGGATAAAGAGCTTGTCGCAAACTGACCTAAATTCTTATTGGATATGTGCGTCCTCATTTGATGGTTCATATAACCTTCCAGGCTAGAAGAAGACAATTCTGGATTTTTCTTGTTCTTTAACCTTCCCCTTGCAGAAAAATAACCACAAAGATCGGAGGGAAATGAACGAAATGAGATACGAGACGACAAAGGTTATCATCATTATGGACTTATAACTGAAGAACGAACTTAGTCGAAGGTACCTGTCTTTTCGCTTTTCAAGATATCTCTGTAATGAAACTTTCCGACTCGCCTGACCCTCAACATCTAATATGAAATTCCACAGTTTTTATGAAAAACTATTGATTAGATCAGCTGTTTCTACGGAAAGTTGTGAGTTATTTACATGGGCAAGGAGACTAAAGGTTATAGTTGAACATTTATACAAATTATCACAACAAATTTTCGGACAAAGTACAGAATTCTTTACAATTCTAACAAATGAGAAATGCAGAGTTTATATTTTCACAATGCAAAAAACAAAATTGCAAGCAAACAGAACGATTACCAGAATCTCGAGTACTGGTTCCTTTTACATGCTGCTGCTGCTGCTGCTGAGGGTGCTCGACCATCTTCTCTGTCAAGTCAGAATACAATCTGTCACTTCAATAGCTACCGCCATTCCCTTTTTATTAGTTCAAAAATTGTGGAGTTGGAGGATCTAGTCATTAACCTTTGAGATGGTAATTAGTATATTTATTCATTAAGCTATTGCTCAAATTGGCAATAACGAACACCATTACTAAACTTCATTTTTTATTGTGAGTACATGTAGTAGCCCAAGCCCACCACTATATTGTCCGTTTTGGCCCGTTACGTATCGCCGTTAGCCTCACGCTTTTAAAATGCGTCTACTATAGAGAGGTTTTCATACCTTTATAAGGAATATTTTGTTCCCCTCTCCAATCGAGGTGGGATCTCACAATCCACCCCCTTGAGGGCCCAACGTCCTCGCTGGCACACCGTTTGGTGTCTGGTTCTGATACCATTTGTACCAGCCCAAGCCCACTACTAGCAGCTATTGTTCTCTTTGGGTTTCCCTTCTCGGCTTCCTCTCAAGGTTTTAAAACGCATCTAATAGAAAGAGGTTTCCACACCCTTATTGCGAATACTCTATTCCCCTCTCTAACCGATGTGAGATCTCACAGTACAAAATTGAAAGCCTTCAAAACTCTAAGATGCAGTTCTCAGTGAAAAAATGTGTAGCATAATGGAGAAAGTGAAAACAGTCGCAATCAAGACCCATCTATTACCCACAAAATGTAGATTTCTGACCCGTGGTTGCCAAATTTACCCACCAGAAATATGGTCCAAGAAAAAGTTGCCAAGTGGAGTTGAGGCTATGGATAAGTTTTCAGAGCACGAAAAGTGATTTTGCAACAAAAGTGATATAACCCACAGACTAACCTGTATGCACATTTCGATACATGGTAGCACTAGGAGGAAAAAAGTCATCTTTGTCACTGCAAGTCTGCAAAGGTCGTGGTGGAGACTGACATGCAGCAGTTCCACCCAAGGGATGATTCTGAGGGACATGAATTGGACCAGCTGCAAGATGCATGATTGCCCATGCCTGCAAATCCATAGATGATTATAACATGTTGAACAGGAGGGGCCGAAAAAGACATGTCCATGAAAAGTATTCTTCAGGAATCCAAAAAAGAGATAGCGTTTAAACCTTATCCGGTGGAACTCCATCATACACATTCACTTTGCCACAATAGAAAATTGTCATTTGGCCATCCACTCCATTTGTTTCGTATTGATTTCTGCCATCCATTAAAACATTTGCTCCATCTCGTCTCAGTTAGTACAAATTATTGTCATTTTCGATGATACACGGCCACAAACAAGATTCAACAAGTACACCATTGAGTTTCAGCTCAAGTACCGTTAAAGCATGGATACATTAAGTGATGCCCATGGGTCAACCATGCAGGACTGTGATTGTAACAACCCAAGCCCACCACTAGCAGATATTGTCCTCTTTGAGTTTTCCTTTTTGGGCTTCCCCTCAAGGTTTTTAAAACACATTTGCTAGGGAGAGGTTTCCTAGGGAGAGGTTTCCACACCCTTATAAGTAATGTTTCGTTCCCCTCTTCAACCAATGTGGGATCTCACAGTGACTTAAGAAAGGAAAGGAGGCAAGAAGTGCCCACAACCTTATGCACATGTTTGCATTTCAAAATATATGACCAAACCTATAGCTTCACAAGATAACAAACTTCACATGATAGTTCAAGATACTTGTTTCCAGCAAGACTCTATATTTGACCAGCACATAATAGTATAAAGATAACAGATTACTTCCACATGGCTTCACTGTTTTTTGCTTCTGCAAACATTTTGAACTCCAAAATTTTGTTTAGGGTGCAGGGTAGTGTACTGATCAATGCCAAAACAAGGATATATAGTTCATTCAAAACTTCTGAAACCACATATACTCAGCAACTCTTCTATTTTGGAGTTTAAGAACAGCAAATATGCACAAGCTTCCAAGACAGAAGATGAAACACAGCGTGACATACATAAATTTCCAGGCCTAGGAATTGCTACACATATATGACCCACAAATCCACATCACAGGGAAGAAGTCGCAGAACCTGGGACTGGTGACATTGTTGTCTGGCTCAGCTAGTGGATCCTCAGGAGTAGATTTTGCAGTTTCCACATTGCTATACGCAGATTCATCAACTGACATTGTAAACTGAGCATCATCACTCGGTTCTTTGGGTGAATCGCCTTGATTTGAATTCACCTACAAATACATCATTCAATAACAGTACTAATGATTATGACAAAGATTCATGAATATACTCGGAAAGAAACGGGAAAAAAGATATTGATCAAAGAAAACCCTCCAATAAGCAAAATTGTTCAACCAAAACTCACCCGAGGCAAAACGACGACCTTCCTGAGAGCACTGGCGCCGGAATCATCACAGGGTTCAAGCAGTGCTTTGAGAGAAATAACCTGCTGGATCGCCTGAGATTTGTTCCATGACGGCCGCCGCATTCCTGACCCGGCACGTGTAAGCAGACAAGTAATAAATTAAAAATATATTAAATTAAAATCGCAATCATTCCTCCGAACCCGCTAGGGCGGGAGGGGGGAGAAAAAAAAACGAAAAGAAAAGAAAAAGAAAGAGAAATGGAAGCTTCCGTGATTTGGGGGCGCCGGAAAAAATGAAGGGAAGAAAGAGAGAAAAATGGAAATTACAAGACCGAAGAAGAGAGGGGGGAAAACCTTTTTCTTTTAGGTATTTGCGACAATCCTCTCGAGTGAGCTGCGAAATGTCATCCTCCGTCAATTGGTTGAGGGGTTTGTCGAGTATAGACGGGAACGTCGCCGCGCCCGCACTCATTGCCGCAGAATCCCAGAGAACCGACACACCCGTTGGCACTCCGCCCTAAAACCTGCAATCAAGACCGGAAATAGACGGAAATCAGGGCGGCGACGATCATCGGAGAACGGCCGGCGGAATTTTGGAGGCGGAATCAGGGGAATTGAAGAAGGGGGTGGTTGTGAACTTGATTAAAGGGCGTCTCTCCAATACGGTAGTGAGAAATGGTTTTTTTTTTCTTTTTTTTTAAAATTTAATTAATTAACTGCGCTTCTCCCTAGACTGCCACGTAAGTGTGCTCCGTGTATCATTAATCTCAATTAATATATTGTTAATGTGATTATTACACCTCCCTTAATTTTAATCTTATATTTAATGAGATGTTCTCTAAAAAGTCAAAGTCAAAGGTTTGATCTTTTAATAAAAAGATTAATATCTTTTGTACTTTTTACCTTAAATATACTCCCGTTAATATTTTGTTTAAAAAAAACTCTAATTTTAACTTTTTTAAAAGTATTTAAAAAATATCTTTCAATTTTAAAATTTTGATTGACGTCTTAAATTTTTTTATATAAAAAGTTTAAAACGTTTTCATCGATATTCATAAAATTTTAAAATTAATATAAAAAAATTTAAAAATAATCTATGAACACGGATGATTATTTTCATTCATTTATGGACGATAATAAATATTTTTAACTTTTCTTTTAAACTTATTGAACAAATAAAAAATAAAAGGGTAAAAATATAATTTTTTTTTTTAAATGCCTACATTTTCCTTACTTTATTACCTGTTTTTTTAATAGATTTCTAAAAAGCAATCCAAAATTTAAAAAAATAAATAAATTATTTTTTAATACTTCTATTTTGTTTTTAAAAAATAAATAATTTATAATTAATAAAGAAATTAAAAAAGGGCCAGACCAATGACAAGGCTCATTATATTTCCCTCCCTTTCTAATTTTAATATATTTTAAATCAAAATAATACTCTTTTACGATATCTCGGACATTTCTTTATTATCTCTTTGTTTTTTTTTTTAAATTCATATCAATAATTTTAATTTATCTCTTCGGTGTATTTAATGATACGGAATCGTTAATTATTTCGAGAAAAGTCGTTAAATAATGGTGGGGCGAACGAGGACAGTAGGGTCATTTGGATTCAGAGGTTTGTCTCCTCCTCCCTCTCCTCTACCCTATTCCTAAACAGTATTCTGCAAAATCCTTTTTTCATTATCCCAAACTGCCCTCCCAAGTTTCCAAATTTACCATTCTACCACTGCCCTTCTTCCCTCTCATTCACTCAAAAGCCCCTCTTTCAATCCTTTCTTTCACATCATACCCCCATGTTTGCCTTATTTACATTTGGCCCCCTACCCGATTCATCCACAATCATTTTCTCACTTCAACCGAAAATACTTACCTACACACCAATTTTGTAGACAGTTCGAAAATTAGAATGTCCAATGACCCGAATATTGGGATGGCTACTCGCTTGACCCACTAACTTGTTCGTGCTTTTATAATGAATACAAAAGTACACACTACTTAGGGGCTACCCACCGTCGAACCTTCTCGTAGTCTCCAAGACTCGCAGCATAAGTTCAGAAAAACACAACTTGCTCAATGATGGTAGGTTATCCCTCCATGGACACAACTTCGTCCACTCTTTAGACTTGACCCGAGACACCCTAAACAAACCCAAGGAACGGTTTTTTTTTGTTTTTTTTGTGAGGAATATTGTTTTGAGGGAAGGAAAACGTAGTTGACAAACAATTTCGAGAAGGCGACTAATGCACGTTGGAGAAGTAGTACCTATCCGAAGCGGTGGTGGCTCGATTCGACTTGATTGGGAAGAAATTTACATAAAGAAAAAATTCATTTTTATTTTAAAATTTGGCTATATGTATATATATATTAAAAATAGAAAATAAAGTTAAATTTTTAATAGAAATAAACTAATAAATAAATAAATAAATAATACTCCCCTTGCTTTTATTTCTTGAAACCTTTGACCCAAAAAAAAGAGAGAATTTTACATATGGATTGAGATATGACAGCTCTCTGTTTCTGGCCGGCGATGGCCGTAGTCCTCCACCACCACCGCCGCCATCCTCCTCGCCCAACCCTTCTTCTTCTCGCCGCGCTTCTCCTCCTCCTCGCCTCCGCCATTGCCGCCCGCCCCACCCCCATCGGTAAGTCCCTAAACTCAATTCCTCTAATTAACCCATTTCTGGGTTTTACAAAAACAGAGGAAACAGAGTTTCCAGCTGCGACACGGCGGAGACTCCGCGGGCTAGGGTCGTCGCCACCGATTTGTAGATCCAAGTGCGGCAGTTGCTCGCCGTGCACGGCGGTGCACGTCCCAATTCAGCCGGGACTGAGTTTGCCGTCGGAGTATTACCCAGAAGCTTGGCGGTGCAAATGCGGCAACTCCCTTTATTTGCCATGAAATTTTAGCGAAGCTCTGTAACAAAAACACCGTACTTTCTTCTTCTTCTTCTTCTTCCTTCCATTATTTTTGCCACTCGAAGTCACTTCAATGGAGATTTTAATATTTTTATTTATTTATTTATTTATTTATAATGTCTGGTAAGTATCATTGGAACTCCAAATCCGCCATTGATTTTTGTTTCACTGCATTGGGAAAGAAAGTTAAGATCTTTAGAAATACAATAATTTTTTTTTATTGCCCATTATTTTATATTTTTCCCTTTGATTTTATATCCATTATAATAATCTCAATTTTCCCACGAATTTCTTTACCATTTCACAAAATAATAATTAGTATTATAGCTAAATATTAAATAATATTTCCTCTGTTTTATATCAAAATATTTAAAATTTTAAAAATAAATAAAAAATTAAAGCGTAATTTATATAATTTAAACTTGAATTTAGAAATTTTATATATATAATTGGTGCATTAATAATATATTTTCATAAAAAAGTGTGAATATTTTTCTTAGTTATTGATAGGAAAATACTATAACAAAGGGTCATTGCATGTGAAGGGGGTAATATTATTAGGGTTAGCACATTCCTATAATTAGGGTGGTGAAAGAGGGAAAGGAAGTTGATGAAGGGGTTGGTGAGCGTTTGGGGGAGAGCGGGAGTGTGAGATCATATATTGGTTGGGGAGGGGAACGAAACCTTCCGTATAAGAGTGTGGAAACCTCTTTTCTAGTAGACGTGTTCAAAAATTGTGAGACTAACGGTTATATCTAATAGGCCAAAACGGATAATATTTGCTTGTTGTTGGCTTAAAGAGTCAGACAATAGGTGGTGTGTCAATGATGATGTTGGGCCCCCAAGTAGAGCGGATTGTTAAATCTGGTGTGAAAATCTCTTCTTAGTAATGTCATATTTAACCCCGAAAAAACGAAAAGAAAAAAGAAAAAAAGAAAAATGTGTGAGCAGTGAAATAGAAATTATTACATATAGTAAGATGCTAAAAGTGGAAACTGTGCATAAATAAAAAGAAAGTGCTCATTATTCCAGAAATACCCTTGTTGAAATATTTAAATTACTTGAATTTTAAAAAATTAACGATCCAATTTTACGGCCCTCGTGCATGTGCCAGTTGTGGGCGCACCCACGTGAGGCCATTCTCACTGCTGTCACCCACGTGGGGCCATGCATTTTACGAACCATTTTTTTTGCCAAAAATTAAAAAATACAAAAAAGGAAAAGGCGTAATCAAATTTATTAAATTAGAAACGATTTTTATAGAATATTTCCAAAATTAAGAGACCGAATCCATGTAAATTAATTTTACTCTCTTATTGTTGTAATTAAATTAAGGTTTAATAACATAAAAATAACATTTTAGTCCTAAACTTTCACTTTTACCCATTTTTGTGTAACAATTTAATCAACGTAAATTCAAATATATAATAATCTATCAAGAACAATTTCATCAAAATTAAACCTCAATTTTTATTACACATCGATTAAATCTTTAAACATTATAAACAATTAAATCCTTGATACTCATTCGTGACCAGAACTAAATTATATATTTTTTAAAAAAAAATTAATAATATTCTAAAAAAATTGAAGTGTTAAAAAATATTATTTTTGTTAGTTTTACGTGTAAATAATTAATATTATAATTAAAAAAATATCATTGAACATTCAAAACGGTTTTAAAAATACCCTCTACTCTAGATTTAAAAATAAAAAATAAAAAATAAAAAATACCCTTTAAACTTCGAAAAAAATATTTCAAAAATACCTATAAGCTTTCAAGTTTTTCATTCATACCTTAAACTTTTTTTTAAACTTCAAATATTATTTATATGTATTAAAAAAAAAACAAGTTTAAAAATAATCTAAGAGGTGAGCATATTTTCACAGAACAGTATGAATGTTACTTTAAAAAAAGATATAATATTCATATACTGGACGTCCACAGTGTTATAGTTGCAGGTCCACCTCAACAATTTTTTAAGTGATGGGTCCGCCATGGGCAATGATGAAAAGGTAAGAGATTGATTAGGGAAAGGGGGCAAAAAGTATGTAAGGGTCGAGGAGGGGGATAGTGGGGGAATGCTTGTTTAATAACAGTAAACAAGGTGAGTTTTGGGTTGGTTTAGAGTCTAGTAGCCTTGAGATTAAACAAACAAAGGCCGCATTGGGAAAGGGAGGAGGAAAAAGGAAGAACAAGACATTCAAAGAGAGGACCCACTTGTTCTTTTAGGGATAAAAAAGAGGGAATTTGACTGTGAAATGAACTGAATTTGAATACAAAAAGAAAAGAGACAGGTTGACAAGGAAGATGTGAAAGGCGTGGGGCCATTTGCCCCATTATCCTCACCATCTCCCCTTTGGTTTTAGTTCTCAAAGGTGAGAGAAAAAAGGGGTTCTTTTGGTGAAGTGATAGGTTGATTTGATGGAGAGGTTTGGAAGTGGGTGTTGCAGACTTTTGATGGTGCAGTCAAGACCAAAGACCATGACTCTCCATCCCTATGTCTGTGAATTCTCCACCCTTTCCTTCCCGTACCCTCTTCCCCCACATTGCCAAGGACAATTTTCAGACACTTTCATGGGGTGTTGTGATTTCTGAAAGGAAGTTCTTCAAATGTTTTAAGATTCATGCCAGAGATACTTCTCTTGCATTTAATAATAAATCTTGAGTTTCATAACTTAATAATCTTTATAACAGTCCGATTCCCGTTGGTTGGAGACAAAGAAATATTCTTTATATAAATGTGGAAATATTTCCATAATAGACGTATTTTAAAACTTCGAGGAGAAGCCCATAAAGGAAAACTCCAAAAAGAACAATATCTGCTGGCAGAGGACTTAGAACTAGCCAGACACCAAGCGGTGTACCAACGAAGACGCTGACTCCCAAAGGGAGGTGGATTGTGAGATCCCACATTGATTGAAGAAGAAAAACGAAACATTCTTTATAAGGGCGTAGAATCCTCTCCATGATAGACGCGTTTTAAAACCTTGAAGGGAAGCTTAGAATGAAAATCCCAAAGAGAACAATATATGCCTAACGGTGGACTTGGGCTAGTCAAACACTGAGCGGTGTGCCAGCAAGGATGCTGGGCCCCCAAAGGAGTGGATTGTGAGATCCCACATCGATTGGAGAGGAACAAAGCATTCCTTATAAGGGTGTGAAAATCTCTATATAATAGACGTGCTTTAAAATCTTGAGAGGAAGTCTCGAAGGGAAAGCCTAAAAAAGACAATATCGATGAACTTATGCTATTAAAAGAACTCAAAGGACATAATTGTACAACCTATTGACCAAATCATGTCCAAGCAAGTGAAGTCATTGATGTCTAATAATTATCTAATCAAACAATGCTAAAAAAGGACACCATGGCCAGCTACTACTAAAAAATGTTATGCTGCCTTTCCTTTGTTACTACTAATATGAAACAAAAGTCAAGACTACAGTAAAATCTCAAAAGCAGCTCAAGGAAGAGGCCTAGAATTGTAATTTAACCAAAAATTGCAAATCATTATAGGGAGAAAAGTAAAGTAAAGAAAAGAGAATATGAAGTATAGGGCGCCTGACCTGATGCATGAGATAAGTGACGCTAAAATTATGAGAGCATGTATTGTTGCTGTCAGTAATTCAGTGTCGAGAGCATGTGATGTCTCTGCTGTTTCTTTGAGGAGATGGGAGTGACCTCGGGAAACGAAAATCTCGGCTTCTTCTTCCATCTCTAAAATATTAGGAGTATATTTAACAAACAGAAGAATAGTCATAAAAAGAAGCCCAGATGTCATTGTTTAGCACTCAAAAGATTTCTATTTCACATTCTATTACGGGAATTGTCCTTCTCAGTGTCATCTTTCACCTGAAACCCGTGTCTGTACATTAGAATAGTTGAGTTACGGCTTGAAGATGCACTACAGAGTAATGTCTTTTACAAGCCAACATTGTGAGATGTAGGGAACACCTGGGTTCAAGTCGTTTCCATGGGTTCTTGGCCGGCGTCCACAATTTCTACCTGCTCTGCCATGGTTTCGGCCTCTTTACCTTCCATCGGGGCTACTTCGGATGTTGGTTCAGTTTGAGGTGTAGGGAACACCTGTTCCACCATCTCTGTAAGCTCTTGAATTCCATCATCTCCCATGCGAACATCACTGTCCTCTATAATCTAGAAACAAAAGGAACAGACCCCAATTAATCTACATAATTTAACCACTCATCAAAATTAAAGTTTTCATTTTCAACAAATCATCCCAAGTTCCCAACAGAGAAAAAGGACCATGGTAAAAGCACCCATAAGAATTTGTTTGGGAGCTATTTTGAAAAACAATTTTTACCTCCCAAGAATGGCCCAGTATTAGTTGACATGAGTTGTGGAATATTTGGAGGTATCTTATAAAGTCTTTTAAGTTCAAGGCTCAAGTAGAAAACTTAACACTAAAAAAACAAAGATGTTTAGTAGGATGAATCATAACTCATTAGTATTATACACGAACTCGGTACACAAATACTGTAAGATCCCACATCGATTGAGGAGGAGAACGAAACATTTTTTATAAGGGTGTAGAAACTTCTCCCTAGAAGACGCGTTTAAAAACGTTCAGAAAAGTCTAAAAAGGAAATCCCAAAGAAAAAATATCTGCTAGCAGTGGACTTTGAGTACACGAGGGTCCATCGATTTGGAAGGAAAAACAACTTCACTATACCATTTGTGAAGGAACAAGTAGAAACTTAGTCCAGAAATCCCAATGCTGTTTTAGGAATCCTTCCCAAGTCAGCCTTTACAGAACTACAGATTCACGGATGAAGATGACAATAGTTGAATTTTAACTACAATTGCTGACACCTACTCCACCAAGTTCTTAAGAATCAGACAACTGTGTTCCATAGCCAGGGAATCTAAAGCTTTTGTAATGTCTACAGAAAAGTGAAAAACTACGAAGACTACGTAATTCTCTTACAACACAAAAAAAAAAAATGCAATTCGAAGGCCTCATATTAAAACAGCTAAAATATTATGGATCTTTTCTGTCCACCAAACTTTCTTTGGCATTCACAGTTCCTTGACCTCCTAACACAAAGACTATTCAAAAAAATTTAAGGCACCACTCAAAAGCCTCCCCTTCATCCAACTTCCCCTTCCCTCCAGGCCTATATAGCCCTCGAACAGTCTCCCCTTAATTGAGACTCAACTCTTTTCTCTAGTCACTTTTTATTACACCTTCAAAGCTAGCAACTTCTTTATTCAACACTTGAGAATTCTATTGACATGACTAAGTTAAAGGCATGACTTTGATACTATATTAAGAATCAGAAACCTCTATAATGGTATGATATAGTCCACTTTGAACATAAGTTCTCGTGTCTTTGCTTTTGGTTTCCCCAAAAGGCCTCATACCAATGGAGATATATTCCATATCAACCCCTTGATTAATTGATGTGAGACTCCCTCCCAACAATCCTCCACAGTCACCTCATTCACATATGGGCGAGTGTGGAAGATGAATTTAGAACAGAGACTCCATACAGAAACATAAAATTTTATCTAAAAATTGATCACAAAAATTATAAGGAAAAATTACAGCCATGAAAGGAAGGAAATTACCGGGAATATCTCAACCGGGGTAATCGGTCGCAAATTGAGGATATTGAGAAGTTCAGCTTTCGCGAGATCATACTTTTTAGACTTGTCAACAAACTCAATGATAGCTTCTCTCGTTTGATTGCAAGCATGAGTTTGATTCAAATAATCATAAACCTACAAATAAAAAAATAAAAAAAGGATCCGATCAAAACCTGCAACAACAACTCGTAGGCCAGCACAAAAAGAAGAAACCTTGTACTCAGACGGTGCTACTTTCGCAAGAACCCTAGTGGGATCCTTCGCTGCCCCCTTCGATCTCAAAAAGTCGAGCACCTCGAAATTTGTAAGAGCGCCTGCATTGGCCTCTAGTCTGCAAACAATTCTTCCAACTAAATTGTTAGCAACTGTAAACTGACATCTCAGTTAAATAGAAATCGCAGAATCAAATAGTTCGAAAAACAATTGCAGGAAGAATGAGGAATAATTACTTACATTTTCATGGAGAAGAAGCTTAAAGATTTGGCCGGAATCAAAAACCTCTCGACGACGGCGACAAAAACCCTTCGTCGATCCCAATTGGTCAATTACAGAACTCACATGATTGCTTACGTGGGCTTCGGAAATAACTATTGGGCTTTTACATGAAATTCCGGCCCCCCATTCCGGCCCATTTGGAGGTTTAAGTTCCTGTGCTCTCATCATAAACAGGGTCGAGCGTTTTGTGGGATCTTTCAATCCACACTTTTTTAGGGACCAGCGTCCTCGTCTACTCTCGTCTCCCTCCTTGATCGATGTGAGATCTCACAATCCACTCTTTTTAGAACCCAGCGTCCTCGTTGACACTCGTTTCTCTCTAATCAATGTGGGATCTCACAATCCACTTCCTCTTTGGGGCACAACGTTTTTGTTAGCACACTGCCCGGTGTCTACCCACTTCAGGGCTCAGCGTTCTTGCTGGCACACCGTTCGGTGTTGGTTCTAATACTATTTGTAACCACCTAAATCCACCACTAACGGATATTGTCTCTCTGTACTTTCTCTTTCCTCCTCTCCCATAAAATTAAAATTCAAAATTTGATAAACCAAAAACATAATTAAAAAAAGATATATATGTATATATATATTGGCTATTAAACACTATATTTAATTATTCTACATATATTTATTATCAAACAGGGCGTGAGGTAATGTTCAGAGAAGAGATTCAACGGTCTGAAGATGAACAGGCAAGCAGAGATCCCCATCTTCAATGGCTCTCAAATCTCCGTCTTCCCCATTCAAATAAGCCTTCAAAAACGCAACCACCGCCCCACCAACAAACCTCCTCATGGGTTCTCTAGAATCCCCATTTTTACACAAGCAGTAGCTCGCCTTCCCTCTAAGCCCTCCAGTTTCATCGTCCAGCAAATCCAAATGTCCATAATCCTTCGCCACAAAATAGTGCGCCGGATTCCGACATTCCTTGAAGAACTCTTCATGGTTGATGCCCTTCGGAGCGCATGGGGGAAACAGGGGATTCCTCTTCAATTCTCCCAGACCCGACCCGATTACCAGAACCGGCAGCCCTAAATCGAAGGATTGTGGGATGTATTTGAGGACTGGGGGGTGCGTTTGCTTTCCGGAGCCCGTTCCGTCCACTGGATCGAGCCCGATTAAGGCTGATAATTTTGGAGATTTCTGTTCGGCTAAAGCTAGGGCTAAGGCGAAGGAGGTTTTGCCGCCGCGGCTGTGGCCGGAGAGAGCTATTTTGTTTAGATTTGGGTTCACGTGCGGGGGGAGGTGCTGCCGGAGACCCTCCGGCAGCCAGTTTATTACGGCGGCTGTTGCTTTGATTTCTTCGCTTGTATCTGGTCCAGCCACTGAGTATAGCTGTGAACAGAGCAAGTTTAAGATGAATTTCAATTTCATAATAAAAAAATGTAAATTATTCAATTTTTTTATTAAAAAATTATATTTTTCAAATTAATTAATTTTGTTTTGGTTTTGGATTAAGATATTTTCTTACAAAATATCTTGACCAATTATTAGACTATACCCACTTTGAAATAATATTTTTAATTAGAGTAATGGCCAATATTTTCTTCTTTTTTTAATTTTTTTTTACGTAATTTAATTAATTATTATTATTATTATTTAAGTTTAGAAAATATTACTATGTAATTTTATATTTTAAAATATTTTAAATATATAACTAACTTAACAATAGACTCTTGAGAATAATTTATAGTTATTAGAAAAGTAAAATATAAAATTTAATTTAAAAAAATAATTTAAAAAGAAAAATGGAAAAATGGGGAGAGTGAGAACCTGAGGGGCGATGACGATGAAGCCATGAGAGGCGATCTGATGGATAAGCTGAGAGTAGAAAGTGTTGTAAAGGAGATAGCCATGGATTAGCAGCAGCACCGGGAACTCTCCGGCGATGGAAGGCCGGCCGATTAGTAGTGGCTTCGGCGGAGGAGCCGGAAGATGTCGGCCGGATGAACAACATCCAGCCGATTCGACCTTTTCAAGTACGGCGTTGAACTTTCCGATCTCGAATACAATTGACGAAGTTGCAGAGAAGGCGGTGGCCGACGGCGGAGGAAAAGAAGCAGTAGCCATAGCCATGGCGACGGCAAGTGAGATTTGGAGCTTCGGTTTCAATTTTAAAGCCCTTTCTGTGTTCGTTTGTGTTAGTGACTGTTTGACGCGTAAGGCGATAAGCTCTTTTTATGTGGGTGTTTTCAATGCCAATTTAGATTTCCATAAATGCCCTTGTCCTCTTTTCTCTTCATGAAGAAGAAAAGGGTTAAAATTGACCAAACAAATCTGAATTTATTATTTATTTTAAAATATATTGCTTACCAACCATTACATGTATTTATTTTATTTTTATTTAATATCATAATTTTTTTAATATATATAATTTATTCTAATTCTAACTCATTTTTAAAAACTATATATTGAAATTGAGTTAATGTGATGTCACAAGTTGGTTGGAGAGAAGAACAAACCACCACCATTTAGAAGGGTGTACAAACCTTCCCCTCATACGAGTTTTAAAGTCTTGAGGAAAGCCCAAAGAGAACAATATCTGCTAGCGGTGGATCTGGGCCGTTACGAATAATATCAGAGCTAGACATTGGACGATGTGTCAGCCTTCTTGTTGTTTCCAGAAGGGGATAGACACGAGGCGGTGTGCCAATAAGAACGCTGGCCCTAAAGAGTGCCAGCGAGGATGCTGGGTCTCGAAGGGGGTGGATTATGATGTCTTGTGGAAACCTTCCCCTGCGTTTTAAAGCCTTGAGGGGCCAAAATAAGACAATATCTACTCGCAGTGGATTTTGGGCATTACAAATGGTATAAGAGCCAGACACCAGATGATATACCAACCTTCTCACTCTTTCCCGAAAAGGGTAGACACGAGACGGGGTGTCAGTAAGGACGTTGAGCCCCAAAGGGGGTGGATTTGGGAGCGATCCCACATCGATTATAGGGAAGAAGGAGTGACCCTAAGGGGGTGAATTATGATGTCCCACGTGGATTAGGTAGTTTTGGTTCATTCTTTAAATCTAATTTTTTTTAAAAAATAAAGTATTTATTAAATTTTATATTAAATATAATTTTTGTGGGTCAACACAAATTAATCATGAAAATAGGATAATTTTGAGGAAGGCCACAAGTGTAGGTTACTAAAAAAAAAAGGGAATGGCAGTTAATCCAAATATAAATAGAGCAATTAATAAGGCAAAAATGGGTTGAAATTCCCAAACATAATTGTGTGAATCAGATTCAGTTCTCTGCAGAGAACTGATTGATTCATTCATTCATTCAGTCATTTTGATTCCCATCAGAACAAAAAACAAAGATCGAAATGGGCCAATTCAGCACCAAAGGCGACCTAGAAAATGACCAATTTTATCCCATCATGATGGAGAGCCCTCAGCTCCGGTGGGGCTTCATCCGCAAGGTTTACACCATCATCTCCATGCAACTGCTTCTCACCACCGCCGTCGCCGCTGCCGTCGTCTTCATCCGTCCCATTCCCATCTTCTTCGTCAAAACCACCCCCGGCCTCATCGCCTACATCGGCATCCTCGTCTTCACCTTTATAGGTCAGAATTCCCCACCTGACACCGATTTAGTTTTCGAAAATGGTTCGCTTTAATTGTTCTTTTGTTTTGTCGGATCAGTTCTTTGTCCGTTGTACGCTTATCACAGGCATCATCCTTGGAATTTCATTTTGCTCACTCTCTTTACCATTGGGATCGCGTTTTCCGTTGGGATTTCTTGCGCCTTCACTAAAGGTGCATTTGAATATTATATCTTAATATTTTATTTTATTTCTCATTCTTAACAAATTGGGATTAAATTTGTGTGACTCAGGGAAGATAATACTAGAGGCGGCGGCGATAACATGCGTAGTAGTAGTGGGCCTGACTCTGTACACATTTTGGGCCGTAAAACGAGGCCACGATTTCAGCTTTCTCGGCCCATTTCTCTTTGCTTCTCTCCTCGTAATGTTCACATTCAGCCTCATAATGGTAATCGATCTTACTGGGCTGCTTTGTCTCTGCCCATTATGATTATTGGGTTTGGGCCTGGGCTGACTTCTCTGTTTCGTTGTTCTGTAAACAGATGTTTTTCCCGATGGGGAAGCTGTCGGTGAAGATCTACGGCGGAATTTCGGCGCTGATATTCTGCGGATACATAGTTTACGACACCGACAACCTCATAAAACGGTTCAGCTACGACGATTACATATGGGCGGCGGTGTCTCTGTATTTGGACATTATTAACCTCTTTATTAGTCTTCTTAGAGTTCTCGATGGCTAAGAACAGAGCAGAACAGAGCAGAACAGAGCAGAACAGAACAAGATCGTGTTTTGTTCTTTTTTTTTTGTTTTGTTTTGTTTGGTTGAAGATATTTAGAAATACCCTCCAGATTTGAAAATATGGGTTGTTTTTGTTGTAATCATAGCTGGTGAGTGTGAGTGTGGGATGGGGTTTAGAACATGTTTTTTTGTTTCGATGATGGGTTTGTAAAGTTGTTTTTTCTCTTTGAGTTCTTTGTTAATTATTGGTTGTTTGGTTGGTTTTAATGTAATCATGGAGGTTTATTATCTATCTATCTATCTAATTCTTCTTTTTTATAATAATCTCGTTTTGGCATGCAACGAGCAAGGGTTTCGACATGCAATGAGCATGTGGCCATGACAAGCGTGACTGTGACAATCAATTAGTATGCACAATGCTTTGATCCACAAATCTTTTTCCCAACTCTTAAGGAAGCTTAAGAGAGATTATCACTCGTAGGCTGATTGACACGATCATGTTTGTCTAAGGCATGTTGTTGGGCAACATGCCCGTTGCATGCCAAAACCCTTGCTCGTTGCATGTCAAAGCTCATGCCTTGTACCATTTTATTGCTTTTATGATAGATAGTATCACTTTATTGCTTTCTTTTACTATTTTCATGATGTATAGTTTCCTTATTATATTTACTAAGTGTATGACGTTTCGATATGTCTACTTGTAGACTTGAAATAGCCTTAGAATAGGGAGATGCAATTAGTTATCAATTCTTCCTACTCGAATTATATATACTATTGAAGCCGTGAAGTTTCTTTATTTACTTATAGCTTTTAATTCTAAAATCTCTTTGGTTTGGGTATAAGTCGTTAGATCGAAGGCAACACGATTTTGAGTTGGCTAACTCACTTGGTGGTGAGAGAGAGTGCCACACAATTGCTTATAAACGTCTCGGAAGAGTGCAATTTTGTATACATGAATTTTAAAAAATGATATACTAAATAGACAAACTTTAAAGTTAAATGACATAGTAGACATAGATCTGAATGTCAGAGAATATATTAAACACGTCCACCAAGCTCACTGCTAGCAGGGTCATAATAATTTTAAGCCACCAGAAATAAATGGGAAAAATGTTAGGGTTGACCTAAGGTTGTAGGGATAAAGAGTTTTAAATTTGTCCGATATTAAATGAAGGAATGGGAAAGGAGGAAAAATATTTGAGACAAATTTAGAACACAAGATTATTTTGTCCAAGCTTGGGTTGGGCCAGATCCCTATTTCCCAACCTGTCCGGTGAGCTTAAGCTTAGTATTAAAGCTAGACACGGGACAGTATGTCGGCGAAGATGCTAACTCCAAGGAGATAAATTGTGAGATCCCACATCGATTGAGGAGGAAAACGAAACATTACCTAACTAATGACAATACATAACAGGCCAGCGATCGTGTACATCTCAAATCCCACCTCACATCGAATTCTAAAGATCGAGAAGTCGTTAAGCAAATTCAATTATCCTTAAAATGATTAGCCAACAAACATGAAGACAATGATTACCCCAACATAAGCAAGAACATTAAACAATGATCTTCATTGTTATTACTAAGTAGTGGGGTTTATACTATATTCAAAAAGAGCTAAGACTTGAGTGAACATGGACTCACTTTCATTCAAATTGGCCTTTACTTTACTATCCAAATTCAACCCAAAAGGGCCCTCTGTTTATATTGATATCATTAAAGAGACACACCCATTTGGCTAACCTTTTCCTTTTTTTACCTTTAATCTAACTTCTTTTTACAAAAGGAACACAAAAAAAGAGGACACTCCCCCCCTCAAGCCACACCCTTCCCTACTCCTCCTCTCTTCTCGGTAGCAATGGCGAGAAGTCGAGACACGCCTTGAGTCCAAAAGTCGTATTCCCGTACGCTCTTGCATTCGAATTCGACGACGCCGCGGAGCACGGTCTTCAGGCCGAAGTAGCGACGGTGCTCTCCTCCCTCGAGGAGGTGTCGTCCGGGCCAAGCGGGGACGTCTTTGATCACCTCTAAAACGATATCTGAAAGAGTTGAAAACATTGTATGAACTTTCATCAATCCCCAAATGGAAGGAGACCCACATCCATTTCTGTTCAAATTATCAGAGAAAGACAAAAGAATTCTCTCTTACTCTTTTTCTTTTTTGTGAAGGTCCCAGCAACGTGCTTGCTCTTCATCTTCAACATAACCTGCACATAAAGAACTTCAATAAAGCTTAAAGAACATGATGAAAGGCTGCCCATGGTGGGGGCAGTAAAGTTTGATCCGTTGCTTCTTCGACAATATCGTTCACATCCCGAAACAAAAAGCTGAATGATTAACAGATCGAATTCGGATTCGAAAACTAAAATGAATCGAGCTTTTTACCTGATTCATTCTGTTTATGTATACAGAAACTATCTTCCAATGAAGATCACCTGCAAATGAACAATATAATGAGTAGCAATCCAATCAGCCATCTGATGAATTGAAATGTGTACTCACACTCAGCTGACTCGAGATCGTTTTTACCTTTACGAGTGCGTTTTAGTAGCTCGCAGCCTCGAGCGAGAAACTCTCGGCTGGATATACCTAAGAAATTATCTTCAGGGACAAGTTCACCACTGAAACTACTATTGGAATTGCCATTGCTACAATTCTCAGCAACTCTCATTCCTTTATCCACTGGAATCACAGCTGATACATTCCACATTTCCTTTAGCACCCTCGCCTTAAGCGTCGCCGCCCCACGTAACGCTGCCGGGACAAGCATTTCCATGTCAAGAAACTTACCAAACCAATTAATGTTTAACTAAGCAAATCTATTTCATATACCAGTAGCTGCAGCAGCTGTTAACGTCATGATATCACCGGCGGATTTGACGTTAACAGCATTGCTGAGAACCGATGCAAGGTGATCACGTTCGGCGCCCATCGCTTCAGCTGCCTCGACACATTGAGCAGCAACAAGCGTTGCAGCAGAGGCAACAGCCAGATCAGTCTTGGTTTTATGCTCATCTTTGTTAGATCCAGAAGAAGCTGCAGTGGCTGCAGCTATAGCAGCTATGGCTGCAGCCACACCAGCAACAGAAATAGCAGCATGAAGCTGAGCATTCTGAGCTCTTGTTTCTTCTTTCTTCTTCTCTTTCCTGTCTTTAAGCCATCTCCCAACAGTCTTACCGCCTCCAACAGTGGTGGATCCACCAGTGGCAGTGACTCTGTACTGATTGTTGAGAGGCATGTTCGAGCGGCCACACTGCACAGAGAAATTACAGGTGGAACATCCATAAAAAACTTAGATATGAGTCAATTCATGGTGAATAACGAAGAATTGACAGCCGCCCAACATGCCATGGCGGTGGTGCTGGTGCTAGCTCTGTAATACCGCACCCACCAGAATGACCTTGGGGTCCATGTTTCATTAAATGCCTCAAAATGGAGAACAACCCATCAAAGGATGAGCCTAATTAAACATCACCCACTTGCCGGAGAGGGAATTAATCCGGCAATTGGGCGATGGGAACAAGTTTCCAGAAAACCCAGAATTAAAAAAACAAAACCCAGTAAGGAAAACAGCCAAAAAGTGTGCGAGGTGTTTAATTCAAGAACATCGATTACTGTGAAAGCTGATAAAACATATATTTGGTCTATGAGAAACGATCGGTGTGCAACCAGAAGAACAGTCCTGTAATATTTATTAACAAACAAAAAGGACGAGACAATGGGCCGGCACGAACTGTGAGTGTCAGAATTCGAAGACCCATCTACGAAAAGAACCATCGATGACTGGAAAACTGACCTTAAAGTCGTCGATCTCCGACGGGGACACGGGAGGACTGTCTGTTAATGAGCCGCAACTTTGAGCTCCATTGAGAGGGCCGCTGCTGTGAGAGAGTCTGCCGGATGTCCGCGGCGAAACCTCTTGCTGCCATTGGAGTACAGAAAATGAAGAAATCAGTGACGGGCTTTCGAAATCGGAATGAATCGAACTCACAAGAAATTTCGAAAACCCCATTGAAGGATTGGATTGAATGAACAAGAAATGGGTTTAAAAGAGAACAAACAACAAGAATTCAGCGAAAAAGCAAGTGGGATATACGCAGTGTGAGACAAAAAGAGGGCAAAATAAGAGAAATCGGAAGCATGTTTGTATTAGAGAAGAACAAAAAGGGTATAAGCAAAGTTACAATCAATTTCAGTCGCTCCAAAATATAAAACAAAAAGAGAGCAAATCCGATTATTTGTCCACACATGCTCTGCAAAAAACTCTGCTCCACCAAACTTACCGACTGTGACATAATCCGCTCCATCACCATCTGGGAAGTTTCAGAAGAAGCAAACGAAAATGGGTTTCCAGAAAAAGTGGTACCCTCTTCAAGCTCGCTCGTCAAATCCTCCAAAATGACGCTACCGCCGCCGCCAGCGACGGCGGCGACGATGCCATTTCCGGCGTTGGGGTGCTTAGAGAGAGTGAAACGAGGAGGGGCTAGAGCTTTGGAGACTTCTAAAGCCGACACGCTCCAGGACCGCGAGAGAAACTCCATCGGCTCGAGTGGAGTGTCCGGCGGCCGATAGACGGCGGAGGAAAGAACCGGCGGCGGCTCATGTCGCCAAGGGCCGGTGGCTGTTTTGTCCATAGTGGGCGGAAGCAGAAGCAGTTGTGAGCGAATGAATCGGAGTGTTTGTTGAAGGGGCAGAGACTCAGTGAAGGAGAACGAGTGGAAGCTGAAACTGGAAGTTTTATCGAAGATCAGTAAAAATCAATTTAATAAAATAAATAAATAAATTCACTGTTTCTCTTTTCCTTTTTAAAAATTTATTTATAACTCAAACTAATAATTTTATTAATTATAATTCTATATTTCTTAATTTAATCATTAATTTTTTTTAAATGGATAACTTATAATTTTCTTACGTATATAAAACAAATAGTTTTTAAAAATATGAATTACCTAAAATAATATTCTTTTTTATGATTATTGTTATACTTTTTTAATTTGATCATGTTAAAAAAAATTAAGTTAAATTGTTATAATTTTATAATTCCAAAATTATTTTAAGAATACGAGAGAAACAAATAATTTTTAAAAAATTAAACTTAACATATTTTAAATATTTTATCTCCCTCTGTTTCTTTTTACCGTTGAGGCTAATTTGGGTATTTCGTCTCTTTTCCACTTCAAAACGACCTAGTTTAACTGAATTACAAGACTAAAAATGTAATTTCATACTTCAGATCTAAAAATATTAATATTTTTTTATTTATGAGGTTGAATTTAAACATAATTCAGATTAAATTTTATATTTTAATATATAATAATTCAAATGAATGGGCATTTAATAATTGAAATTTGTATCCTTCATAAAAACAACAAAAATAAAATCTTTATATATCTCTTAGAAATCTTATAAATAATATATATTTATAGAATTTTGCACTCATTCTCGAGTGTTTATAGATCTTACAACTTTGTATATTTCTCGGAATTTTTTAAAACTCCTGTATTCGTCATGTTTAGAACGATTCTTACATTAATTCATTAAGACCATAAAAAAATTTATAATATTGTTTCAGTTGAGTCGGAGATTACAAGACTTTTACTCGCATCTCTTATAATCCATTGTTCGATTTTGCATGCTCGTTCATCGTTCCAAAAAGTCACTTAGAGAGATAGACTAAGTGAAATAAAATTCTTACCACGAATAATCATTTACCTTTTTTTTTTTGTTCCAAAGTATAATGATTGACCATTTCATACTTTAAAAATAACACGATATCCTGTTGTGTAAAAACTTCATAAAATCCTTCTTCATCATTTCTATTTTAACATCATCATACACATCCCTCACCCAACAATGAAACAAAATAAAGTAGACATTTTTTTTATATATATATATCATCTTTCTCTCGTCATTTCAAAAGTTTAAATGAAAAATGGACATAAACGACAGTAAATAGTTAAAAGTTGAACGATACTCGGATCTCATATCTATTGGAGAGAAGAACAAAACATTTCTTGTACAAGTGTAGAAACCTCTCTGTAGTCGACATGTTTTAAAATCTTGAGAAGAAGCTCGAAAGGGGCAAACCTAAAGAAGGCAATATATGTTAGCGATAAGCTTGAGCTATTACAAATGATATCAGACCCAGGCATTGAAAGGTGTGTTAGCAATGACGTTGGGCCCCAAGAGGTTGGATTATGAGATCTCATGTCTCAAAGCATTTAATAACCTCCCCGAAAAAGAAAGCATAAAGAACACAATATCTACTAATATGGGTTTAGGCTGTTACCGACTATGTTTTTTTTTTCATAAATGCTCAGTTATGACGGGTCGAATAGAAAAATAAATGATAAATCATAATAAAGCAAAGAGAATTAAATTAATGGGAAGGTAGTTAGGGTAAAATGAGAGAATATTAATAATGAAGAGAGCTCCCAATCATTCTCATATATCAATGCTCATATGACTTATGGGAGTCATGGTGATGATAATATATGTTCACTTTCTTTCTCTCATCTTATTATTATTATCAAACCAAACATTTTTTTGGTATAAAAATTTTTCCGATGCGTTTTAAAATCTTGAGGAGAAGCTCGAAAAAGCCCAAAAAAAAAAAAAAATATCTGCTACTAGTGGACTTGAGCTTGAGCGTTGTTATATTTTTAGGTATCAAGTGTTCTTGAACATGGATTAAATATTTTTTACATTCAACTCAATTGCTCAAGTTGTAATTTTTTTTTGTTGTCTCAAATAAATCTTATTAAGCAATGAGCTCAACTCGATGCTACCGTAATTTTTTTGGATTGGGTTAAATTTATAAAAAAAAAATTGTTTTTATAAAAGTAAAAATATTAGTTTATAAAATATTTATTTAATTATATTTTTAAATAAATATAATTTAGGAAATGGTTAAAAATTATTAGAGTAGCGGGAGAATAAATAATTATAAAAATAAATAAATTTGATGTAATAAGTAAAAATGCACACTCTTAAATTAATAATAAATTCAGATCAAATATTAGCTTAGATTTGTTGAGTTATTAGAACTGATGAATGGATAAAACATCCATTATCACTACAAATATATCTGTCAATTTGTTGAATTTAAAAGAAATGAAAAGGACTGGACACGTGGCATTTTCAACTTTTGTCAAATTAATAAATATATAGAACATGACATTAAATTTTTGTATTTAATAAATATTACAATTTTTTTTTTGGGTAAATGTTAGAATAAGTAAATAATATAAAATTATTTTTAGCGCGATTTGGAGTAAAAAGGGTACAATCAGGTGCGACCAATCTTAGCAGCCAGTGAGTAAGAGCGGTGACAATTCAACGCTTTTGGAGCCTATTGTTGTACGGTCAACTAGTGATGACCGACGATTCCGGTCATCTCAATTTCCAACTTTAAATTAAGAAGAAATCATCAAATTTAAATCTCATCTAAAATATCCAACATTATTTCATCTAATAATTTTAAAATTGGCACCCATTGTTCCCCAAATAAATACATTTCCTATTGATTCAAAATAAATAAATAAATAAATAAATAAATAAATTTCTTATAACACTCAATTAAGACATTAAATCAAATTTTAGATATATTTATATTAGATAGGAGTGTTCATATGATTCAATAATCTGACTAACCCAAACTAAATCATAAAGATTGGTTCGGTCAAATTTTTAAAAAATAAAATGAAAAGTTTTAGGTAAGTTCGTGAGTTAACATTTTTCAACCTAACAATAAAGTTACAACCCAACTCTATCCTATTTAAAAATTATTGTGAATATTAAGAATATTTGATATCTTAACTGATGCTAATAATGTGTTGTGATTTATAAAGTTCAATATTTTGAATTAGATAAGATTTTAATTATTAATGTAATATGTACGGTGGATAAATAAGATTTTTTAAATAATTTTAAAAACAACTCAACACACAAAATAGAGTGTTGGATTAAGTTGTCAATTCTATCAAATTAATAAATTAATTTTTAATTTTTTTTTTTTTTTTTTTTTAAAATATCTATCAAAATTTTGATTTTAGGTTTAATAAATTGAGGATGATAATTAATACAGGGTGGGAGTGGGGTCCACTAAACTTGTGGGACCCGGAATAGATGGCGTGGACATGGAGGGGCATTTGATTGGATGAGAATTAATATTGTCAACCAATATAATGTTGCCTAGTCACAATCCTTCACGTGAGTGTGCCATTTTTATTGTGGACCCCATCATCTCCCTTCCAAGAAAATACCATTATTATTATTTTTTTTTTAATTCATACATTCAAATTTATTTTCTTTTTTCTCCCAAAATTCCAAACTTTGGTCTTCACATTTTCAATTACGTTACATCCCACGTGGCATTCGTCATTCAACCTTATATTATATTTTTAATCATTTATTGAGATACTCGTGGAATAATTTAAAATTTAACATTTTTTTTTGTAACTATATTCGATTTAGACTGAATCTAACAAAAAAAAAAAAAAAAAAAAAAAAAAA